CTTTACTTTACATTGGTTTTGGAGACTAAGGAGTTGTAAGATGTTGTCCTGAAGAGACTTTGATTTTGTAAATTGGTTTTTTTTGCTGACACAGAAGTGGTCAGAATCCATCATCTACCACCATTCAATGTATGGAAACATCCCACCAATCCATGTTTTCTTGCTGAATCTAAGATGCAATTTAACTTAAACCTGTTTATCTGAAATCACAGTGGTAGAGCTGGTGGAAAAAATAATCCCTAAGGTTTGAGACACACAGCTCAGTTGCTAAACAGCGGATAGAAACAGGTTGGAATCTTTATAGTCCATTTGATACATAGGTACGTATCAGTCAAGCAGGGCTGGGTTTCAATAGGCTAAAAATAATGTAGGTTTATTTAGGTTACAGAAGTAGAAACAAGGAGTATTTTTCATCAGTGTTTCGTTTAGAAACAAAATGGTTTTTGTGATGCTGAAAGATGCATGCTATACATAGCAAGGAACTTATAGTTTGAGAAAAAACAGAAAGGGCCAAGTATGGCCTCCTAGTTGAATGCCTGCACCCAAAAGCAAAATTTAATCCCAAATTCAGCCCCATCAGATTATCTAAGGCCTGAGTCCTGCAAACAAGTAAGAACGTGTAACTTTGCATACATCAGCAGTCTCATTACCTGTGTGCATAACATTAGACACATGCCTAAGTGTTTGTAGGACTGCGGCCTAAAGTCTCTGGTAGAGATTTTTCAAAGGTGATTTAGCTACCTATCTTTCAATACTTTAATGGGCAATGTATGACAAAATCCTTCGCACTCATTTGTAAATACCAACTTCTGTTGTTAGTATTGCTAGCTGACCATTTATAAATGTAACATTATTGTTAGCTAGGCTAGAGTGAAGTAAAAAATTTAGTCAATTAAGTGTTCATAGGAGGTGCTTAGTTTATCATCATGAAGGGGCTAAGAACCTAGAGAGATACCATTTACTTTCTATTTCTGCTCACAAAATAGCCATAAACTGATGGCAATTTATGCTACTATTTTTATTATCCAAATATACTCAGTGACTAGCATTTTTAGAAATTACTGTGTAATACACATGAATATTTGAAAAATCTAGTGATGTTGCTTTGTTGTAAGTGGAGGGGGGGGCTCAGAAAATAGCAACAATTGTGAAATATTTAATGATAAAAATCTTGTAGCTTTTCACAGAAACGTTGAAAAAAGTTGGCCATCTCTAGTTGTAATTGAGCACATAAGCCACACGGTATTGCTTCTCTTACCTAATTTTTCTCTGTATGTGTGTGCTTGTGTGTGTGAGAGAGCATTTAAAAATCAAATGCCACAGCCAGCCATGACATTTGTTTTGTTTTGTTTTGTTGCAAGTAAAACTTGATTGTTGGAACTTTTGTGGGAAATGACTGGAAAAGGGCTCTGTGCATGGCCCAAACAAATGCATTTAAAATGTGTATGGATATTTATGGGTGTTGTATGCATATTTTTCCAAGTCAATGTTGGTTTTGCAGATCTTCATTTTTAATCATTGTAGTTATTTGTTTATACAGCACCCAACCTTGTGGCCGTCACTGTATAGAACAAATCCAAAGACATGGAGTGTAATTCTGGCTCCACTGTAGTCCATGGAAATGTTGCCATTGATTTCGATAGGGCTAGGATTTCAACCCTTTTCCCTACCGCTGTCCCTTTGCACTGTAAGGACATCTCCCTGAAAACAGTTTTATTTGCGGGACTGGGCCCTAATATCAGACGTGACTCTGTAAATGAAATGAACAAGCAATAAGTGGAGTGAGATGAAGGACAAAAGTTGCAGTAATAAGCTCATGTATCATTCTCATTTATGGCATGTGTACATCTGGATGGTTCCACCAACTTTTCTTTTATTTACTTTTGTATGGTAAATGTATGTACTTCACTCCGTTTGGTTTGGGTTTCGGGAAGAGGTGATTTTTCAAATTTAAAAATAAGAGTCCGACCCTGTAAACACTTTTTGCTCAAGGTGGTGCTTACTTCTATGAGTAGTGAGAATTTGTACCAAAGTTGTTTTGACAGCCTGGCATTTATTTATTCTATGGCCTGTGTTGTGCAGGAGGACAGACTAGATGGGGGAAGGGATAGCTCAGTGGTTTGAGCATTGGCCTGCTAAACCCAGGGTTGTGAAATCAATCCTTGAGGGGGCCATTTAGGGATCGGGGGGCAAAAATCTGTCTGGGGATTGGTTCTGCTTTGAGCAGGGGGTTGGACTAGATGACCTCCTGAGGTCCCTTCCAACCCTGATATTCTATGATTATAATGGTCTGGCCTTACCCTCTATGAATGTATAATTTTTTATTAAAATTCATTATTGTCTTTATTTCTTTTCCAATGTAACTTTACCTATTCACTTCCTGACCTGTATGGTACAAAATAATGCTCTTTAGCTTGTTCAGCTAAGTTGCAATGTGGCTGTTACTCAAAAAGAAAAAAACATAGGGACAGAATTGTCCCTATTTCATTATTTAATGTGTTTGTTTTAGTATGTATTTGGCTCTTTTCATATTTTGATGCAACATATTAATAACATTACACTATTATGCTCTGCAAGAAAATGAAACCCTTTATGAAAGAAGCCTCAGTAGGCAGTGGGTTCAGTGGCAAAGCTTTTAACAGCTGATCTGTGTAACACTGCAGCTGTGTTAGGCTCTAGGGGCCCTATTCTGATCTTATATCTGTGGGTATGTAAAGCCACTTAGCTCGTGAAATCATCTCTTCTATGGGTGTGTAGTCATGATCAAGCTGTCAGTGCTGATGTTTTTGCGTCCTTGCCTCCTTAGCTTTTATTTCTATTTCCTCCAATCATATATTGTATTTTCAAAGAGGGGAGATCTGTCTTTCAAATAAAAATAAGAATAAATCCATTTCTGTACATGCTTTCAGACAGCTAATTCAAGCTGCTGTGTCTTGAGCGCTGGACTCAATTCCTGAGTGTTTTCATAATACTAAAATCAAGGAGAAAATATGCAAAAAAATGGATATTAGCGAGTCAGGGTTAAAAGTAGCAAAAATAGATTGTGAGCAAAGGCACAATGATCTATCATTCAGTATTATCATGAGCTGAGATAGCTTTCCTAGAAAGACTACTGCCAAAGAATACAAACTAAATAAATATAACCAAAGTCCAATAATCAAAATACATAGAAAAATAATTATAGTTGTAAGCTCACTTTTCATACGGTAGCTGAGTGGTTTGAATACATGCTATACATGGATGTTTTTAAACTTCAGCATATTTTTCCAAATATTCAATGTTTAATTGCCTCCTGACTTAGAGCCAGATCCAAAGCTGAAGTAGCTGGAAAGATGCTCATTGACTCCAGTGAGATTTGGATCAGGCAGTAAGGCTTCACCCTGCACACACTTACACAGGTGATTAACTTTGACTGTGAAGGTCATCCACATGGGACTCCTACTCACATGCTTGCCCAATTGGGGCCTTGAACATTAGTACATAGAATATCTTTTTCTCAGCTTCCATTGATATTGATAATTGCCTGTGCATATTGAGAGACTGGTTAAGCTATTTGTCATCCAAAAAAATGCCTGTTACAGTTCTGCACTCAACTATTTCTAAACTAATGAAATCTACCTTAAGTGTGAATAATATTTGCCACTTTAAAAAAAAAAAAAGTAGTAAGCTCTCAGTTGAGCCTATATCAATTGCATATTGGACATTATAGACTGGATCCATTATGGGGTCTTACTTTTTCTTAGCCTGCAAAGTGTTCCTCGTGTAATGTGCATAAAATAGTAACTCAGTTTTATTATATGCTAGCAGCCAACCTAGTGTACCATACTGCTTCATGTCTTTAAACAGTTCCTTTTTCAGTACCAAAAGCTGCATAATGTCTGTAAACAGTTCCTTTTTCATACTACCTTCCAGGGAAAGATCACAAGCTTTAAGACAGCAGCAAATACATGAATGGTTAATTTAGATGCTTGTTGCCATTTTCCGGTATTTGAGTCAATAAAAATGTATGTTCAGGAAGTTGTTTTAATTTTTCCATGATTGTATCAATCCCGTTTTGCATTTTCGCTCAGGAACTGCAATGTTGGATCGAACTGGAAAGGTCTGCAGCATTATTTTGCTAGATCACTAAAACATTCTGTCTAGAAGTTTAGCTGTCTGGATTACATGTCCTCCTGGAGCCTAATGTGTGATGTGTCTTCACTAAAACGATTAATACTATTAAATGGAAAAGGACATTGCATGATGACTTCAAAAATCAGATCAGTAAAGCAATATTTACTTGGTCTGCTTGAGCAATTTAACATTTTTATGAGAATGTATTTCTTCTTATTGTAACTTATTTAACATTGAGGAGGGCAACTAAAGTAAGCATAATTTATTTAGATTAATACTTCCAATATCAATGAACTTTAGAACAGTAGAATTCTTCACCTAGAGACTGTGTTATCATATGCACTTAGGACTACATTTTTAAAGGTAGTTAGGGGCCTAACTGCCATTGATTTCACCTAATTACCTTTACAAATCTGGGGCCTTGACCCCAATCGTGCATATAATTATACTCAGGAATAGTCTCATTGACTTCTTTGGATGACTCACCTTTGTAAAATTAAGCATGTGTGTAAACATTTGCAGGACCAAATTTTGCAGCCTTTTCTCAGACAAAAAATTCATTGATGTCAGTTAGTGCTTTACTCAGGTAAGGACTGGAGAAATGGGCTCTAAATGCAGCAATTATTTCCAACTGATTCTAAAGAGGGAGATGATAAAGTTGTCCTGAAAACATGTCATTGCTTTACAACTGCAGAAGTAAACCACAGAGTTCTTTTGTGAGGGCCCCATGCTGCAGTCCTTAATCACACAAAACTCACATTGACTCTAGTAGGAATTATACATGAGTCAAGCCCTCAGATTTGGGGCCCGAGATATTATCTTTGCACTGCAAAGTATTCTCTTATTGTGCATACCCACTTCACCCTTTCATTTCATTTATTTTCCAGCTCGCTGTTCCACACAATGACGAATGGACCCGTTTTGCTCGGACACTGGTTGAAATCCGTGCCAACAGAGCGGACAGTGAAGAGGAAGGGACTGTAGAATTGTCTGCCTAGAGAAAAGGAGGTTTCCACTGTGTCTAGCGCAGCATCTATCCCCTGTTGAGTATGCCAGTTTTCGGTGTCAAATCAGTATCGCTGTGGCTTTTGATGCCAGTGTCCCTGCCAACATTGCTTAGAGAGCTCCATGTTAATCACACTGCGCTTTACACAAGGCTGAGAATCTCCAGAGCTGTTCCATACTTTATATTTCTGTCTGAAACGTAAGAAAGAAAAGACAAATCAAACCTTTATGGGTTTAGCTGTTGCCTTTTAACTACTTAGTAGCTGTATTTAATAGCTAGAAACCATGGTTAAACTTGTGCTCACATGCACTTCTGGCATAGTCCTATTAAATCCATATGAAGCCAGATATGATTATGTGCAGATGTGGTGTGCTTCATGATATGGGACTGGGCCAAAGACTTTAGATGTGGTGTTTCACATGGTGACTTACATTATGAATGGATGTACTATACAAAAGTTGCTGCTCCTTATTTATTGCGGTGTGCTGCATGGAACATATTTATTTGAAAGCATTAAAATAAATGATCCTAAAGCATGTGCATAATGAGAGCACTGCATTGTCTCTGTGCTGCTGTAGAGGCTACATTACCATTCAAATACTAAAGATGTAAAATCTATAAATATTTGTTTGAGTGGATGGAATGATTTTTTTAAAATGCCTATTACTTCTAGGCACTTTAACAATATTTCACGTACAGTTGGTCGTTGATACTTGTCATGGTAACACTAACAGGCTGACAAAGAATTGTGGTTCCTGAGTATGACACCAATATTGCCAATAAACTTATTCTGGAGCAACGTGGTTAATCCTTTTGGGCCAGCAGTACTCAGCATGTTAAACATGGGACATTGGCTATGCACTGGGAACATGTGACTTCCAAGAATTGCAGAATGCTCATACAACTGCTATGTCAGGGATTGGCAACCTTTGGCACACGGCTCGCCAGGGTAAGCCCCCTGGTGGGCCGGGCCATTTTGTTTACCTGCCGCGTCTGCAAGTTCGGCCGATCGCGGCTCCCACTGGCCACGGTTCGCCGTCCCAGGCCAATGGAGCTGCGGGAAGCGGCTCGGGCTGAGGGATGTGCTGGCCACCGCTTCCCTGCATGGTAGAAGGCCTCTCTAGTCCTATTAGTAGGGCCCTATCAAAGTCAAGGTCAAGTTTGCTCAATTTCACAGTCACAGGTTTTAAAAAATAATAAATTTAATTATTTCAGCTATTTAAATCTGAAAGTTCAGTATTGTAATTGTAGGGATCCTGACCCAAAAAGGAGTTGTGTGTGTGTATGTGTGTGTGTGGGGGGGGTGTTCGCAAAGTTATTGTAGGGAGGAGGTTGTGCTACTGCTATGCTTACTTCTGCACTGCTGCTGGGGGCGGCGCTGCCTTCAGAGCTGGGCAGCTGGAGAGTGGCGGCTGCTGGCCAGGAGCCCAGCTCTGAAGGCAGAGCTGCTGCCAGCATCAGCGCAGAAGGATGGCATAGCATGGTATTGCCACGCTTACTTCTGCACTGCTGCCTGCAGAGCTGGGCCTTCAGTCAGCAGCCGCCACTCTCTGGCCGCCCAGCTCTGCAGGCAGCAGCGCAGAAATAAGAGTGGCAGTACCATGCCATGCCATCCTTACTTCTGTGCTGCTGCTGGCGGAGTGCTGCCTTCAGAGCTGGATACACAGCCAACAGCCACCGCTTTCCAGCTGCCCAGCTTTGAAGGCAGCGCAGAAGTCAGGGTGGCAATACCACAATCCTCCAAAATAACCTCGTGACACCCCCCCTCGGAACTCTCTTTTGGGTCAAGACCTCCAATTTGACTGGTCTCCCCCATGAAATCTGTATAGTATAGGGTAACCGCACAGTAAAGACCAGATTTCACGGCCCATGACGTGTTTTTCATGGCTGTGAATTTGGTAGGGCCCTACCTATTAGATGGCCACTACACATGCAGCTATCTGCAGTACTTGCTAACCAAACAGACAAACTGGTCCTGCCCAACGGAGCAGCAGACAGCACTTCAGAGTTTGACATCTTCACTCCCCCCCCGTTCCAATCTATGGAATCCTGCCCTGAGTGGCAAACATCCTTTTGCAGAAGATGCACTAGACATCGAATGTAATTGCACTGGTAAGTCAGGGAGAGAACATCTAAATGATGCCCCTTGCACGCCCAACTGAGTACACAAAATTGGAAAACAAGGGTGAGGTCTATTGGGCTTCCAATTGAAAGTCCAATAAATCCAGCATTCCAGGCACTGTGTTGCCTCTAACTCTCCTACCAGTGAGCTCAGGTTTAGGGGGAGGGGAGGTGTTTTTCTGAATATGTTGTTCCATTATTTCCAATCATAGCTGAAAAAACTTAATAACTTCCACAGCGTATGGGGGAGACTAGCCAGTTCTTGCAGTGCATTGTAAACAGCTGGCAAATTTGCCTCTACTTTTTCCATATTACCTTTCAGTTCTGAAACCTAAGGGGAAAATGCTGCATGTTTCACCTCCCAATCTCTTGCTCCTTCGTGGCTTTAATAGCTTGTAAAACAGTTTTAAGAGAAACCTCAGAAGACTCTTCAGGATTCACTGCTGTGCACACAGGACAATGCCCACTTGGCACACAACACCGCTCCTGGCGGCAGGCCTAGATCACAGAGAAGATGCTGGTGATGGTTTTCCCAAGAGTGATCTTTTTCCTTTGGGGACACCCAGGTAAAAAAAGAGGCTCAGCACAGGAGCGTCAAACAGAAGAGGTCCAGGCACAGCGTCAGGGTAGAACATAATAAGGTTGAGACTAAAATATTGCAGCTCAGTCTAGGACGAATAGGGTTCTGCTGTGGAGTAAAGCAACTGTTTGTGCATTCACTCCATCTCTCATGGAAAGGCCTGCTGCATGGGGTTCTTTCCTGGCTATCCATGGTTAAAGCTTCGAGTCGGTCATGGAAGTCACGGATTTCATGACTTTCCATGACCTCGGTGACGTTGCAGCAGCAGACCCTCCCTCCCCCAGTCCTGCAGGCGGTGGGGGATCCCCCGGAGCTCCTCAGAGGGTGGCAGGGGACCCTGCAGTTCCCAGTCACCATAGGTGGCGTGGGACCCCCAACCAGCTCCCACCTCTACATGGTGATGGGGGATCCCTGCCAGTTCCTAGCCCCGTGGTCAGGGGTCCCTTCCAGCTCCCAGCCACTGGGCGGGGGTAGGGGGGAGCATAGCTTCCTAACATTGCATACAGTGGGGCAGGGTACTGGACCCTCCTCCCTCCCCATTTTGTCAGGGATGTTTTTAGTAAAAGTCAGGGACAGGTCATGGCGTCCGTAAATTTTTGTTTATTGCCCGTGACCTGTCCCTGACTTCTACTAAAAATATCCCTGACAAAATCTTAGCCTTATCCATGGCTGATAACCTTCTGACACCTCATACAATCCATGTCCGAACAAGTATCTCCTTTTCACTAGCTTCCCAAATGTGCCCATATGTCCCCAGTGTTCCCACGTTTGTTCAGGATCCCACTAAACACAAAACTCCACTAGTTTCATAAAAATGAAGCCACCCCTTCCACTCCCAATATGCACCTTCCACCAACAGCCATCCTCAGACACGATGGGTAAAACAAACATTTGTGGATCACTGCATGGTTGGCATTTGAACAGCAGTTAGGCAATACAGTACAGACTAAGTCTGATTTTATTTGTAATCTTTCCTTTTCCCTCTACATTTGTACAGCCCTGAACACACAGGTCAAGAATGAGCAAGAAAATAGCATCTATATGCAATGGCTGCAAACCATTGTTAGTGGGTCCATTTCTTCTAGGCATTACAATGGAAACAAGCCTGGAGAGCACAGCAGCCTTTTAAACCGATCCAGAGAGGGCACTGAAAACGTAAGGATAGCATGGAAAAAAGAACATAGATGATTGTTAGAGAAGCAGACACTTGGGATATTAAGGCTGGCATCGTTGGGGGATGTGACAAGTTTTGTGAAAGGAGGGGCAGACTTATGAAGAGATTTAGAGGCGGGGGGGGGGAGAAGAGGCTTGAGTTTGGTGTGTGGAGGAAGAGGGAGCCAGTGAAGGTATTTAGGACCAGACCTTCAAAAGATATTTAAGCACCTAACTCCCACTGATTTCAATACCTAAATACCTTTGAGGATCTGGGCCTTACTTCCTGATCCTGCACTCATTGAAGTCAATGGCAAAAGCTTCTTTTTTTACTTCAGAGATGCAGGATCAAGACCTTAATGAGGAAGAGACCTTGGTAAGGGCAGTTTCAGCAGAGCAGAAGCCAGAGAGGAGGGAATCCATTGTGGAGTTGGAGGAAAGGAATTCAAGGCAATAGCTGTAAATGATCACTGCTCTACAGCCAAAATGCTTCTGAAATAAATGTAGTCAAACTTTACTAATTCTGGGTCACTGAGAACGAAAATGATGCTTAAAATTGTTGATTGGCTCTAGTTTTCAAGATATGCTATTGGGTCAGTATATACGACCCTTGACTTGGGAATGGCGGAGGATAAGTGAGTTATAAAAGGAAGGGGTCTCAATTTAAACCAGAAATGACTAAAATACATCTTTGACTGGATCTATGAATAAATCTATGACTGGGTTTGGACAGTACTTGCTTTTTAGGCAAAACAATGAATGATGCAATCTGAAGCTGGTATTGCGTCAGACATGATATGAATTGCATCATGTTATTCCTAGAAGTGCTGGATGATGCAATCATAACGAAGCTTACATCACTCTGCTGAACAAATTGCCCTATATCAGCTCTAGAAATCATACAGTGTCGTGCTCTCTTATTTGTCAGTGTTTGATTTTGCAAAGGGACACATTTCTGTTTAGCCAAAGTGAGCAGAGATGCCTCGTACTTGTGTGAACAGTGCAGATAACTTCTGCTATGTTTGTGGTGAAGTGACTTTTGAATCACAAAAGCGCAGTATAACCACTATGGTTAAGAAAGCCTATCACCTTTATTTTGGCTGCAAAATTGGAGATCAGGACAAGAGGTGGGCCCCACACATATGCTGCAACACTTGTGCAACAAATCTTCGCCAGTGATTGAACAGGAAAAGGAAATCTATGCCTTTTGCAGTGCCAATGATTTGGAGAGAGCCAACAGATCATATCAGCAATTGTTACTTCTGCATGGTGCCTCCAGTTGGGAAAGGTGTGTCAAAGAAGAAAAAGTGGACTGTGCATTATCCAAACATTCCATCAGCTATACGCCCAGTACCCCACGGAGAAGGACTGCCGGTTCCTGATGCACCAGAATCGCTCTCACTTGAGTCAGACGAGGAAGAGGAAGAGGATGAAACTTCTGGTTCTGAACCATCAATGTCACAGGACCCACATTTTCTCCCATCCTCCTCCTCTGAACCACACTTCATAACACAAGGTGAACTGAATGACCTTGTCAGGGATTTGGAACTACCCAAGAGTAAGGCAGAGCTGTTGGGCTCCAGACTACAGCAGTGGAATCTCCTGGCAGGTGATGTTAGGATTTCCATATTCCGTGACCGTCAAAAGGATCTTGTCCCATTCTTCTTCATGGAAGGTGATCTTGTAGCCTGCAACAACATCGATGGTGTGATGGCAGCCCTCAACATCGTTCACGATCCAGATGAGTGGAGACTGTTCATTGATTCATCGAAGACGAGTCTTAAAGCTGTTTTACTGCATAATGGCAATGTTTTGCCATCAATTCCAGTTGGTCATGCAGTCCATATGAAGGAAACCTATGACAACATGAAACAACTTTTGAGGTGCATAAACTATGACCAACATCAGTGGCAGCTTTGTGGCGATTTGAAGGTGGTTGCTCTCTTGCTTGGTCTGCAGACTGGATACACAAAGTACTGCTGTTTTCTCTGCGAATAGGATAGTCGTGCAAGAGATTCCCACTACATCAAGAAAGATTGGCCACTCCGACAGTTATTGGAGCCTGGGAGGAAAAGTGTTCAGCATCCACCACTTGTTGAATCAAGGAA